CACGAGACGATGCAAGTCCCAGGGCAGTAGGGCAAAGAACCTAAGACAAGTCATGGTCATACATTGCAGATCCCATAGTTATGCATCTGGTTGGGCCAGGGTGGACATCAGCTGACGGAACAAGGACTGTGAGATCAGAGTGCAGTGGGAGACGGGACCCTCCTCTGTGTAATATCAAGATTAGATAAACAAGAGTGTGCAACTCCTGGATGCGTTCGCCGACGGCGGAATTGTTTGTTGACGTAATCTTTTCTACGACGCACGCGCTGCGAGTCTTTTGGAAAGTTTTGCCTCGTGCACTTGGCCGGGCTTTACATTACAAGGTCGGTATCCAGCACGTGCTCTCCCACTGCTCTGCGGCAAAATGCGCGTTTTTTCTGGAAAAAGGTGACGTCAACAAAAAGATTCCGGTGTGGGACGGGGTATCTGCAGAGTGTGCAGGAGAGATCCGGAGTTGCACAGTCTTGTTTATCTACTCTTGGTAAGATGCTTGTTGTGTACAATATGCGCCGTGTGAATTGAGTAGGGGACTGGGCTTGACAACCGCTGCACCGTCCGACCCAGGTGTCGTGTTAACACGGCCTCACGCCTCATACCGTCATGCATACAGGCAAGCTGAGACAACCATTGTCAACATCACTGCCCTTTGGGCTTCTCCCTCATCATCACTGCCCATTGGGCTTCTCCCTCCCTCATCATCACTGCCCTTTGGGCTTCTCCCTCATCATCACTGCCCATTGGGCTTCTCCCTCCCTCATCATCACTGCCCATTGGGCTTCTCCCTCCCTCATCATCACTGCCCATCGGGCTTCTCCCTTCCTCATCATCACTGCCCACTGGGCTTCTCCCTCCGTCATCATCACTGCCCATCGGGCTACTCCCTCCCTCATCATCCCTGCTCCCCGGGCATCTCACTTCACATGGGTAAGGGTAAGTTCATTGAATTGGCAATTCACACGGAAAAGCACTCTATAATAAAAAACGACAGAAACAGAACAGCATAGGCAGCAAGCACAAGAAAAACACACCAAGAGACAACAAAAGGCAGCCTGTCAGAGGGCGGACTACACATGGGAGGGGGGGGGAGCAAGGTGATTTAAAAAACAACTCAACTCTAAAATGAAAGTCGGCCGAGTGCTTATTGAGGAAGCGGAGGTCTATAATCAACCTCAATTTTCCATTGCTTTTAGGAACCACGCCCAGCGGGATAATTACATGGATAGTATTTTCTTCCACAGCCCCCCCGAACGCAACACACAAAAATAGCCATAACGAATAATACATAAAACAAAATCTGAGGCACCAATAATTTCCCCAAAATGCAATGCGGTGTAATAACCGCCCATGAACGTTAATGTCACAAGCACTTATCTCGTCAGACTCCAGCCAGTCCGGGAACTCATGCTCCGTCTATCCATGGACGAGCTCCAGCAGTGGGTTTTGGTTGCTGAGTCCAGTGTGGTTGGCGACTACTGCCTTGGCCGAACTGGGAGCAATGCCTACTGACGTGACCCAACTGCTGGCAGGTCCAGCAATGCAGGCCGCTGCCAGGGGTTCGGCCATCGTTGTCAAACAGTCCGTGGCCTGATGGCCTTCGCTCGAATTGGGCGTTGTTGCCAATGTTGGATGCACGAACATTCCTGCCTGCGTGTGGCATCTCAGGTTGGAACCGCTCTCTGGGTTGTAATTGCCTGAGCCGATGACCTGTGTGAGGCTGCATTGGCGAGTCTTTCGTCGTCTGCAAGTCTGTCACCTACGCTACCCTCCTCGTAGACTCTCGCTGTTTCCCAGTCAAAGGAAACGGCTATTTCGAGTTGTTTATGCCTTTACAGATTTATCAGTCCAGGCGGGCTCAGGAGGAGCTAGATGAGCCGCGGTTCCATGGTTGCGATTGGACATTGGCATGTTGAAGTATTATTATGAGAAGGTTCTCCGCGTCGGCATAAATGCAATGTAGATATACACAGCATGTACAGCTTTCGCATAAGCCGAAGCGACAACAGCCAAACAGGATATTGATAGCGATATAAAAACATATGCGATATAAAACTTTTTTCACCTGACCGCAATTTTTTTAGTGCATGCAAATGTGCATGACTACAAGGTAGACTATGTACACACACGACCCAAAATATGTATAGCAGTCCAGACATCGACCTCAGAGTCAGAAGCTGCCTGCAGCACTTAGTGACGACGTTGTCTTCTACATTGTATCTCCGATTCGCAATCGGTCCTGAAACAGCATCAGCTCCGCCACTGCGTCGCTCATTGACAGAAGTTTTCAAGAACTTCGGTGAGAGCTGCTCGTCAGACTCGTTTGCCAGCGAGGCCAAGATCTGGTCCTGGAGGGGACGTGGCCCCGGACCTGGATCTGATGGGACAATGGCTACGCTGGATCGACTACAGTCAGATTTAATCGACTGGCTTGATGGAGAAAAGCTATTCGATATGCACAATTGTACATGCATACACCCCTGCCCGCAACTAAAATAAAATAAAAAATAAACCCGACCGACCGACCCTGGTACGGATGAGTGAAATGAGCCGAAACAATGAATTAATTCTAGGTGCTTGCCTGACGAAAATAGAATACAATTAAAACAAGCAAACAAGCAGCTCAACCGAGTTGAATTTGAATTTGCTGATCATTGCCAGGGACCCTCCGTGAGCAGTAACATATCTCTCTAGGATACGGCCGCAAAGGTAGCTCGACGCCCCGCGGTTCTGGGCGATGCTTCTCAGCTCCTTAAGATCCGCCGAGGTCTTGAGGGTCCTCCCAACCAGCTCGAGATCGTGTCTGAGCACGACAGCCAGAGTTGTGCCCCGCATCCCCCTCCAGGTAGGCTCAGTGGATGGCTTGAAGTAGGAGCACATTGACAGGTTCGCCGGTGCACTCTGGTCCAGTCGCAGCACGTGCCCAAACAGACGCCAGCGGGCTCTCAGGACCGAGATACCAAGTGGTGTTGAGTTTGTCCTCTTGCACAGGGTGATATTCTTGATTTTAGCTGGGTACCGTATGCCAATAACCTTTGGCAGTTGTTGTCTATGGAACGCATCAACTCTATGCATAGCGGTGCCAGTGAGGCCCCAAGTCCCATTGTTGTAGCACAGGACTGGTAAGATGAATGTTTTTGTATAGCCGTACTCTCAGTGATTCGTTTACAACGGAACCACATATCCATAATGCCCAGAGTCGGTGCAGGGCAGCCGTGGCGAGTTGCGTTCTCCGCGCAGCATCCTCGTGGTCACCAATGGTGAGGCGCCATTCCTCGCACACTCTGTCGTTGAGCCATATGATGTTTGTGAGTTCTGTTTTAGATTCATTGATGTTGAGGTCCCAGGCTTTGAGGCACTTTGCAATGTCGGGCAGGAGCTCTTGAATACATTTGCAGTCAGACGATCTAGATCGGGTCTTGCGCAGATAATCTGTCTCACCTCCCAAAGCGTTGCCTGCAGGTAGATAATGAATAAGACAGGTGATATGGAGTCACCCTGTGGTGTACCTCAGGTGGTCTGGAACTGCTCGCTCTTCCCTCCAGGTAACCGGACATCAAGGGACGTGTTCCTGAGTAGCTAAGACATAATGGTGACCTCATCATTCTCAAGGAAGCTAGCTAATATAGTGAGCAAACGGTACCTGGATATTGTGTTGAACGCTTTCGACATGTCTTTGCCGAGCACGCCAAATGATTTCCTCACTCGTTGGCACCGTGCCGCCGTGCCGTGATCACCGTGCCGCGATCAATCTGTAGGACCAAACTACATTATTTAGCCACCCGCACTAGTACCAAGTGTTACCTTCACTGGGGGCAGAGGTAACTGCAGTTGGATCCCGGGACGGTTACCTTGATGCCATCAATCCTTTTCGTCACCTTGTCCTCCCCCGCTTACTGAGGTGTGGTGAGCCCATAAGTAGGATACTTTCAAGTCCACGCTATTTTGCGGATTTCAGGGGTGTAGGCCGTTGGGCGGTTCAATAGCTAATTGAGTCATCTTTCCAAGATTCCTTTGGAGTTTCTCTCCCCTCCCCGGTGAGACTCACGTGACCAGTTTTGGCAGTGAGCAAGTGTGTGTGTGTGTGTATGTGTGTGTGTGTGTGTGTGTGTGTGTGTGTGTGTGTGTGTGTGTGTGTGTGTGTGTGTGTGTGTGTGTGTGTGTGTGTGTGTGTGTGTGTGTGTGTGTGCGTGCACATGTGTATGCGGGAGTGTGCGTACATACTTAGATGGGTATGTGCGTATTTGAGTATGCTAGCCTGTGTGTGTTTCTTTGTGTGTGTGTGTGTGTGTGTGTCTCTCTGTGTGTAAAAGTAGAGAAAGAAAATGAAAAATAGGGATTCACTGGCCAGAAAAAGCCACTTCAATCAGCTGTGCGGTGGACACCAGGCTAAAATTAGTTGCGGTTAAATCATCATCCTTGCAAGCTGTTGAATGGTGTAATCCTAGCTCAATTTGCTATGTCTAACATAGCTGTTAGCTATCATCGCATCCGTGATGATGGGCATGTCTGAGTTCTGAGTTCTGTGCGTGTGTGTGTGTGTGTGTGTGTGTGTGTGTGTGCGCGTGTGTGTATGTGCGAGCATGCAAATGTCCGTGTGTTTGTGTTTGTCTGTGTTATTTTGTGTGTTTGTGTGTGCGTGTGTTTGAACATGCTAGCATGTGTGTATCTTTATCTGTTTGTTTTGTTTGTTTGTGTTTTTAGTATGTGTATGTGTGTGTATATGTGTGTATGTATCTGTATGTGTGTTTTTGTGTGTGTGCGGTGTGTCCGCACGCGCCTGTGTGAGTGTTTATGTGCATACGTGCGTGCAAAATATGTGTTTAAATGGTGTGTGTGTGTGTGTTTGTGTGTGTGTGTGTGTGTGTGTTTGTGTGTGTGTGTGTGTGCGTGTGTGTGTGTGTGTGTGTGTGTGAGCATGTCAGCGTGTGCGAATGTGCATGTATGTACGTACGTATCTGTGTTCTTGTTTGTGCGTGTGTGCGCATTTGCACTTGCATACTCAGGCTCTTCTGATGCTGGCAGCATGCTACTATGGCAGCATTCATTGTGTCCAGTTTTTACTGTGGTGTAATCCGTCGCTCTTGCACGGCAAAGTTATGTTCATCGTCTATACAGAGCCACGGCAGGTGAGTACTGGCCAAAGTGCTCGGCGTGAAACTGTTTGTTCTGATCACTGGTTTGTTTATTCTGATAAACTGAGCACGCGCTCATGCAGCGTCACTTTGCTGTCAAAGATGTTCCCAGAAAATTGCATGTTCCTCTCTTTGTAAATGTGGTGAACAATGCGCCTCAAAGCCATATAGAGTAAAACAACTGTAACTAAAGACCGGCACCGTGACTAGCAACCAGCCTGGTACTAAAGACCGGCACCGTGACTAACAGCCAGCCTGCTGCTACACACCGCCGTGACTAGCGACCAGCCTGGTACTAAAGACCACCGTAACTAGCGACCAGCCTGGTACTACACACCACTTCACCAGGCACGGACGGTCTCATATACAAAAATGCACTGTGACAAGCGACTACCTGCTGAACGCATCCAGCGGCCGCCTTTTCTTGTCCCAAAGTCGATTTTTGACATGTAACTAGCGACAGCAGTGCAGGAATTCAAAGGTTGTTCGAAGCTGCTTCTTCGACATTTTGATGATTTCTGTCCTGAATGGACTCTTTCGATAATATAGCTGCACGAATTCACGCAATCTCATTTTGACAATGGGCTGAACTGCACCTGGCATAGTTTCAAGTGCTCTCATGAGCAAACATGAAACGAAACGTCTTGGAGAGCACCTGCTCGAACCTGCTCTATGATCGATGCTACTTCTCAAAGGAGAAATGGCATTGCGCAAGTGGTGGGATATTGTATTAGCTACATTTTTACAAACATATCAGAGATGGGATCCATATAGGGTTGCATGGTGCAAACTTCTAACTAAAGACCACCTGCCACTAAAGACCGTTTCTTCTTGCCCCAAGGGGTGGTCCTTAGTTACAGGTTTACTGTATACACGGTATACTTTAGTAGAGCTACAACATAACCACTGTCCAGTGGGTATACTTTAGTAGAGCTACAACATAACCACTGGCCAGTGGGTATACTTTAGTAGAGCTACAACATAACCACTGACCAGTGGGTATACTTTAGTAGAGCTACAACATAACCACTGGCCAGTGGGTATACTTTAGTAGAGCTACAACATAACCACTGTCCAGTGGGTATACTTTAGTAGAGCTACAACATAACCACTGGCCAGTGGGTATACTTTAGTAGAGCTACAACATAACCACTGACCAGTGGGTATACTTTAGTAGAGCTACAACATAACCACTGGCCAGTGGGTATACTTTAGTAGAGGTACAACATAACCACTGGCCAGTGGGTATACTTTAGTAGAGCTACAACATAACCACTGGCCAGTGGGTATACTTTAGTAGAGCTACAACATAACCACTGGCCAGTGGGTATACTTTAGTAGAGCTACAACATAACCACTGACCAGTGGGTATACTTTAGTAGAGCTACAACATAACCACTGGTCAGTGGGTATACTTTAGTAGAGGTACAACATAACCACTGGCCAGTGGGTATACTTTAGTAGAGCTACAACATAACCACTGACCAGTGGGTATACTTTAGTAGAGCTACAACATAACCACTGACCAGTGGGTATACTTTAGTAGAGCTACAACATAACCACTGGCCAGTGGGTATACTTTAGTAGAGCTACAACATAACCACTGACCAGTGGGTATACTTTAGTAGAGCTACAACATAACCACTGACCAGTGGGTATACTTTAGTAGAGCTACAACATAACCACTGACCAGTGGGTATACTTTAGTAGAGCTACAACATAACCACTGGCCAGTGGGTATACTTTAGTAGAGCTACAACATAACCACTGGCCAGTGGGTATACTTTAGTAGAGCTACAACATAACCACTGGCCAGTGGGTATACTTTAGTAGAGCTACAACATAACCACTGGCCAGTGGGTATACTTTAGTAGAGCTACAACATAACCACTGGCCAGTGGGTATACTTTAGTAGAGCTACAACATAACCACTGGCCAGTGGGTATACTTTAGTAGAGCTACAACATAACCACTGACCAGTGGGTATACTTTAGTAGAGCTACAACATAACCACTGTCCAGTGGGTATACTTTAGTAGAGCTACAACATAACCACTGACCAGTGGGTATACTTTAGTAGAGCTACAACATAACCACTGACCAGTGGGTATACTTTAGTAGAGCTACAACATAACCACTGGCCAGTGGGTATACTTTAGTAGAGCTACAACATAACCACTGGCCAGTGGGTATACTTTAGTAGAGCTACAACATAACCACTGACCAGTGGGTATACTTTAGTAGAGCTACAACATAACCACTGGCCAGTGGGTATACTTTAGTAGAGGTACAACATAACCACTGGCCAGTGGGTATACTTTAGTAGAGCTACAACATAACCACTGGCCAGTGGGTATACTTTAGTAGAGCTACAACATAACCACTGGCCAGTGGGTATACTTTAGTAGAGCTACAACATAACCACTGGCCAGTGGGTATACTTTCGTAGAGCTACAACATAACCACTGACCAGTGGGTATACTTTAGTAGAGCTACAACATAACCACTGGCCAGTGGGTATACTTTAGTAGAGCTACAACATAACCACTGGCCAGTGGGTATACTTTAGTAGAGCTACAACATAACCACTGACCAGTGGGTATACTTTAGTAGAGCTACAACATAACCACTGGCCAGTGGGTATACTTTAGTAGAGGTACAACATAACCACTGACCAGTGGGTATACTTTATTAGAGCTACAACATAACCACTGGCCAGTGGGTATACTTTAGTAGAGCTACAACATAACCACTGGCCAGTGGGTATACTTTAGTAGAGCTACAACATAACCACTGACCAGTGGGTATACTTTAGTAGAGCTACAACATAACCACTGGCCAGTGGGTATACTTTAGTAGAGCTACAACATAACCACTGGCCAGTGGGTATACTTTAGTAGAGCTACAACATAACCACTGGCCAGTGGGTACACTTTAGTAGAGCTACAACATAACCACTGGCCAGTGGGTATACTTTAGTAGAGCTACAACATAACCACTGGCCAGTGGGTATACTTTAGTAGAGCTACAACATAACCACTGGCCAGTGGGTATACTTTAGTAGAGCTGCAACATAACCACTGGCCAGTGGGTATACTTTAGTAGAGGTACAACATAACCACTGGCCAGTGGGTATACTTTAGTAGAGCTACAACATAACCACTGGCCAGTGGGTATACTTTAGTAGAGCTACAACATAACCACTGGCCAGTGGGTATACTTTAGTAGAGGTACAACATAACCACTGGCCAGTGGGTATACTTTAGTAGAGCTACAACATAACCACTGGCCAGTGGGTATACTTTAGTAGAGCTACAACATAACCACTGGCCAGTGGGTATACTTTAGTAGAGCTACAACATAACCACTGGCCAGTGGGTATACTTTAGTAGAGCTACAACATAACCACTGGCCAGTGGGTATACTTTAGTAGAGCTACAACATAACCACTGGCCAGTGGGTATACTTTAGTAGAGGTACAACATAACCACTGGCCAGTGGGTATACTTTAGTAGAGCTACAACATAACCACTGGCCAGTGGGTATACTTTAGTAGAGCTACAACATAACCACTGACCAGTGGGTATACTTTAGTAGAGCTACAACATAACCACTGTCCAGTGGGTATACTTTAGTAGAGCTACAACATAACCACTGACCAGTGGGTATACTTTAGTAGAGCTACAACATAACCACTGACCAGTGGGTATACTTTAGTAGAGCTACAACATAACCACTGGCCAGTGGGTATACTTTAGTAGAGCTACAACATAACCACTGGCCAGTGGGTATACTTTAGTAGAGCTACAACATAACCACTGACCAGTGGGTATACTTTAGTAGAGCTACAACATAACCACTGGCCAGTGGGTATACTTTAGTAGAGGTACAACATAACCACTGGCCAGTGGGTATACTTTAGTAGAGCTACAACATAACCACTGGCCAGTGGGTATACTTTAGTAGAGCTACAACATAACCACTGGCCAGTGGGTATACTTTAGTAGAGCTACAACATAACCACTGGCCAGTGGGTATACTTTCGTAGAGCTACAACATAACCACTGACCAGTGGGTATACTTTAGTAGAGCTACAACATAACCACTGGCCAGTGGGTATACTTTAGTAGAGCTACAACATAACCACTGGCCAGTGGGTATACTTTAGTAGAGCTACAACATAACCACTGACCAGTGGGTATACTTTAGTAGAGCTACAACATAACCACTGGCCAGTGGGTATACTTTAGTAGAGGTACAACATAACCACTGACCAGTGGGTATACTTTAGTAGAGCTACAACATAACCACTGGCCAGTGGGTATACTTTAGTAGAGCTACAACATAACCACTGGCCAGTGGGTATACTTTAGTAGAGCTACAACATAACCACTGACCAGTGGGTATACTTTAGTAGAGGTACAACATAACCACTGGCCAGTGGGTATACTTTAGTAGAGCTACAACATAACCACTGGCCAGTGGGTATACTTTAGTAGAGCTACAACATAACCACTGGCCAGTGGGTATACTTTAGTAGAGCTACAACATAACCACTGGCCAGTGGGTATACTTTAGTAGAGCTACAACATAACCACTGTCCAGTGGGTATACTTTAGTAGAGCTACAACATAACCACTGGCCAGTGGGTATACTTTAGTAGAGCTACAACATAACCACTGACCAGTGGGTATACTTTAGTAGAGCTACAACATAACCACTGGCCAGTGGGTATACTTTAGTAGAGCTACAACATAACCACTGACCAGTGGGTATACTTTAGTAGAGCTACAACATAACCACTGTCCAGTGGGTATACTTTAGTAGAGCTACAACATAACCACTGGCCAGTGGGTATACTTTAGTAGAGCTACAACATAACCACTGACCAGTGGGTATACTTTAGTAGAGCTACAACATAACCACTGGCCAGTGGGTATACTTTAGTAGAGCTACAACATAACCACTGGCCAGTGGGTATACTTTAGTAGAGCTACAACATAACCACTGGCCAGTGGGTATACTTTAGTAGAGCTACAACATAACCACTGGCCAGTGGGTATACTTTAGTAGAGCTACAACATAACCACTGGCCAGTGGGTATACTTTAGTAGAGCTACAACATAACCACTGGCCAGTGGGTATACTTTAGTAGAGCTACAACATAACCACTGACCAGTGGGTATACTTTAGTAGAGCTACAACATAACCACTGTCCAGTGGGTATACTTTAGTAGAGCTACAACATAACCACTGACCAGTGGGTATACTTTAGTAGAGCTACAACATAACCACTGACCAGTGGGTATACTTTAGTAGAGCTACAACATAACCACTGGCCAGTGGGTATACTTTAGTAGAGCTACAACATAACCACTGGCCAGTGGGTATACTTTAGTAGAGCTACAACATAACCACTGACCAGTGGGTATACTTTAGTAGAGCTACAACATAACCACTGGCCAGTGGGTATACTTTAGTAGAGGTACAACATAACCACTGGCCAGTGGGTATACTTTAGTAGAGCTACAACATAACCACTGGCCAGTGGGTATACTTTAGTAGAGCTACAACATAACCACTGGCCAGTGGGTATACTTTAGTAGAGCTACAACATAACCACTGGCCAGTGGGTATACTTTCGTAGAGCTACAACATAACCACTGACCAGTGGGTATACTTTAGTAGAGCTACAACATAACCACTGGCCAGTGGGTATACTTTAGTAGAGCTACAACATAACCACTGGCCAGTGGGTATACTTTAGTAGAGCTACAACATAACCACTGACCAGTGGGTATACTTTAGTAGAGCTACAACATAACCACTGGCCAGTGGGTATACTTTAGTAGAGGTACAACATAACCACTGACCAGTGGGTATACTTTAGTAGAGCTACAACATAACCACTGGCCAGTGGGTATACTTTAGTAGAGCTACAACATAACCACTGGCCAGTGGGTATACTTTAGTAGAGCTACAACATAACCACTGACCAGTGGGTATACTTTAGTAGAGCTACAACATAACCACTGGCCAGTGGGTATACTTTAGTAGAGCTACAACATAACCACTGGCCAGTGGGTATACTTTAGTAGAGCTACAACATAACCACTGGCCAGTGGGTACACTTTAGTAGAGCTACAACATAACCACTGGCCAGTGGGTATACTTTAGTAGAGCTGCAACATAACCACTGGCCAGTGGGTATACTTTAGTAGAGGTACAACATAACCACTGGCCAGTGGGTATACTTTAGTAGAGCTACAACATAACCACTGGCCAGTGGGTATACTTTAGTAGAGCTACAACATAACCACTGGCCAGTGGGTATACTTTAGTAGAGGTACAACATAACCACTGGCCAGTGGGTATACTTTAGTAGAGCTACAACATAACCACTGGCCAGTGGGTATACTTTAGTAGAGCTACAACATAACCACTGGCCAGTGGGTATACTTTAGTAGAGCTACAACATAACCACTGGCCAGTGGGTATACTTTAGTAGAGCTACAACATAACCACTGGCCAGTGGGTATACTTTAGTAGAGCTACAACATAACCACTGGCCAGTGGGTATACTTTAGTAGAGGTACAACATAACCACTGGCCAGTGGGTATACTTTAGTAGAGCTACAACATAACCACTGGCCAGTGGGTATACTTTAGTAGAGCTACAACATAACCACTGGCCAGTGGGTATACTTTAGTAGAGCTACAACATAACCACTGGCCAGTGGGTATACTTTAGTAGAGCTACAACATAACCACTGGCCAGTGGGTATACTTTAGTAGAGCTACAACATAACCACTGGCCAGTGGGTATACTTTAGTAGAGCTACAACATAACCAATGACCAGTGGGTATACTTTAGTAGAGCTACAACATAACCACTGTCCAGTGGGTATACTTTAGTAGAGCTACAACATAACCACTGACCAGTGGGTATACTTTAGTAAACTACAACATAACCACTGACCAGTGGGTATACTTTAGTAGAGCTACAACATAACCACTGGCCAGTGGGTATACTTTAGTAGAGCTACAACATAACCACTGGCCAGTGGGTATACTTTAGTAGAGCTACAACATAACCACTGACCAGTGGGTATACTTTAGTAGAGCTACAACATAACCACTGGCCAGTGGGTATACTTTAGTAGAGGTACAACATAACCACTGGCCAGTGGGTATACTTTAGTAGAGCTACAACATAACCACTGGCCAGTGGGTATACTTTAGTAGAGCTACAACATAACCACTGGCCAGTGGGTATACTTTAGTAGAGCTACAACATAACCACTGGCCAGTGGGTATACTTTCGTAGAGCTACAACATAACCACTGACCAGTGGGTATACTTTAGTAGAGCTACAACATAACCACTGGCCAGTGGGTATACTTTAGTAGAGCTACAACATAACCACTGGCCAGTGGGTATACTTTAGTAGAGCTACAACATAACCACTGACCAGTGGGTATACTTTAGTAGAGCTACAACATAACCACTGGCCAGTGGGTATACTTTAGTAGAGCTACAACATAACCACTGACCAGTGGGTATACTTTAGTAGAGCTACAACATAACCACTGGCCAGTGGGTATACTTTAGTAGAGCTACAACATAACCACTGGCCAGTGGGTATACTTTAGTAGAGCTACAACATAACCACTGGCCAGTGGGTATACTTTAGTAGAGCTACAACATAACCACTGGCCAGTGGGTATACTTTAGTAGAGCTACAACATAACCACTGGCCAGTGGGTATACTTTAGTAGAGCTGCAACATAACCACTGGCCAGTGGGTATACTTTAGTAGAGGTACAACATAACCACTGGCCAGTGGGTATACTTTAGTAGAGCTACAACATAACCACTGACCAGTGGGTATACTTTAGTAGAGCTACAACATAACCACTGGCCAGTGGGTATACTTTAGTAGAGCTACAACATAACCACTGGCCAGTGGGTATACTTTAGTAGAGCTACAACATAACCACTGGCCAGTGGGTATACTTTAGTAGAGGTACAACATAACCACTGGCCAGTGGGTATACTTTAGTAGAGCTACAACATAACCACTGGCCAGTGGGTATACTTTAGTAGAGCTACAACATAACCACTGGCCAGTGGGTATACTTTAGTAGAGCTACAACATAACCACTGGCCAGTGGGTATACTTTAGTAGAGGTACAACATAACCACTGGCCAGTGGGTATACTTTAGTAGAGCTACAACATAACCACTGGCCAGTGGGTATACTTTAGTAGAGGTACAACATAACCACTGGCCAGTGGGTATACTTTAGTAGAGGTACAACATAACCACTGGCCAGTGGGTATACTTTAGTAGAGGTACAACATAACCACTGGCCAGTGGGTATACTTTAGTAGAGGTACAACATAACCACGGGCCAGTGGGTATACTTTAGTAGAGCTACAACATAACCACTGGCCAGTGGGTATACTTTAGTAGAGGTGAACGATAAGGGAAAAGGTACTCTAGTTCTCCCAAGTGTACACAACCCCCAAGAGTGTGCTACTGCAGTTTTGTTGTAACACGTTATGAGATGGCAGGACTTCACATCACTTGACGAGCTTGCACACAGTATGTTCACACCATGCATGATAGATAGAGGGTTGAACCCAACCCTGTTTTGGGTTCAACTCTCCTCGGGTCACTTTGCACTGCTTGCCAGCGTAACCTTTGAACCACGTGTGATGTGAAGTTTTGGCGTAGCAGCACTGGATAAAGGCTGTGTGGTCAGTTACACACTCTTGGGGTGATGTGCTCATTGTATCACTAATCTGAGGCTATGAGTTTAGTTCATAGGCACCACTGATGCAAGTATTATTGTGAATTTTGTGTCAAGTTCCACCCAGCATTTACTATGTCCCCGTCCTCTACGACACACACACTAAGATGAGATATGCTGTGTTCTTGGAGAAGTCAATTGTACTTCGAGTACATGTGTATGGCACTATGCTGCAATAGAAAGGAAAAATCTGGATCTTGTATGCTTTGCAAGTGATTGTAATAATGTGTATGTGTGTATGTGTGTGTTTGCTGCTATTGTAACCTAATAGAAGAGCGAACCAGTATCACTTCTACATGTCTGCGCGTTCCGTGGACATAAAGCACTGTGTGAGCTGCTGGTAAAACATGGTGTCGATGTTAATGTCCAAGATGAGGTGAGCTTTGGAGGTGGAATGCACCAATCAAATGCGCTTTGCAACAAACTCTTGTGAAAATCTCTATGAAATCATTGGTATAACCTCTAGATGTATACGAATTCTCATAACTTGGAGAAAGATGATTGACACGGTCTTGTGTGGATTAAATAAATGTCTTCAGGCTGCGAAGTGCACTGAATGACCTCTCCGATGTGATGTTTGTGGTTGGAAGAATAAGCAGTAGGTGAAACAACCAGCAGGCAGGCAATGGCTTACACAGCTGGTGCGAAGTGAGCAGCTAAGCTCCTTACAACTTACAGCCTGTTTGGGCGCGTTCCTGTCACTCGAGTTGAACCCCCTTTAAACCTTTGAGTTGAACCTTGGTGTGAAGAAAAGTTGTAGCCTGCAGGCACGATGACCAAGTGACTGGTGTACGGACCAGCACGTGATCGCTTACTCACCTGTGTTTTATTTTGGAATAAGGGCCAAACGCTGCATCGTAGCCTTCTTGAAACAATACCAGTCGACTCTGCATCCAAAAGACTACAACATATGGGCCAATCGTGTTCATCCGTGCTCATAAGAACGAAATGGCGCTTTTAGTGACATTTTGCATAGAAATCCCCCTCTATTTAATAGTGGTTGCGACTTCAGGGATGATTTTTTTGGGAAAGGGTTTGCTCCCACACCGGAGTCAAGTGTCGGAATAGCGCGAGCTCCAGTGTGGGAGCAAACCCTTTCCAAAATCCCCCTCTGATAGGGTCACCCAGTTTCGGTGGAAGAGCGTGAGTTCGATTGGGGATAAAGGAGGAAAAGAGCGTCTCAAATTCCTCGGACCAAAATCATTCGACTCAGCATCCTGAAGACAGAAAGTGGTAGAATAGACCAATCCCGAAAAGATTGTCTGGGTTCGAAAGGGGGCATGTCAACTGAGAGTGCACTGTACAATGCAAATATGGCACTAATTGATCAGCATGCGGCACAGGACGTGTTTGATAGTTCGTGTGTGAATGCGAGGGTAAGTACACGGTTAGCCCCTGCACCCGTAAATATGCAAGCACCTCCAAGTGAACCCGCACGCCCAGCTTGGGCACTCGTGCACCCACGCAGTCAGACACAAGCGAACACATGCACGGACACGCCACTGGCGTACCCATGCTCTGACACGCAGACACCCGCACAACGTACTGCTCACTATGGCGTGCACAAACATACAACAGACACCTTGGGTTGGGGGTTGCCAGGATTTCTTTTGGACAATTCAAGTATTCAAGAATATGCTCTTTGATAATAATTGATTGAGTAAAGATGCATGGAGGAAACTAGCATCGTCGGGGGCTAAACTAGCATACTGCCCACCGAGGTCGCCCGAAGGGCTAAACTAGCCTACTGCCCACCGAGGCCGCGCAAATGGCCGCCGAGGGCAGCAAACCGCCCGCCGAGGGCTAAACTAGCATACTGCCCACCGAGGGCGCTCAAATGGCCGCCGCGGCCAGCAAACCGCCCGTTGAGGGCCAGTATCATCTTGCCCGCCGAGGGCAAACACAAACGGCTACCGAGGCCAGCAAATCACCCACCGAGGGCTCACATGACTGCCTGGCATCAGGCGTCACAACATACAGACACAATAGGAGGCCCGTTCGCCCCAAAAAAGATAGTAGTCCTAGAAACCATGGCATCCCGTTCCCCGCAATCCACAACGAGCTAGCTACTCACAGTAATACCATGCCCGTGCAGGCATACACACACTAGTTTGAATTGCGAGAGCCGCTCACTGACTTACAAGATAGGCATCCCGGCTGGCTGCCGCACGTAACATTCGCATGCAGAGCTTCTCCAGCGGCCCGCCGGCTTTACTTGTGGCGGGATAACAGGGACGGGGAGAGCCCTAGCTGGCCACTGTCCTCTGACACCTGGACTCGCTTCGTGGCTGGCTCGTCCGCAAGGGGAGTGAGGAACAACGCAAGCTCCACATATTTCCCGCGCAGCACCTCGCCGTACGTACTGCAGGACACGTGGTCAGTTGCCCATTAGGCCTCGGTCACACTACGGCAAAAATGCTGCGTCAGCGTCAGAATCATGAGCCTTTCCATGGCAACTGACGCAGACGCGGGAAATTTGAGCATCAGACGCTGCTGCATCTGACGTGGGGAAATCGGCCGTGTTGCCGCTGATAGGAGTGACGCTTGGCGAAAAAACAGTGTCTTTTAAGGCAGTTGCTTGAGTTGAGCAGTCTTTCGACATTCGTCTCTTCAAGGTTTGTTTTGTTCCCTCTTTTTTCGAGATGAGTCTGTGGACCTACGAGGCCGAGGCTGCTCTTCTCCAAACCTGGCGGAAGAGCGAGGCATTTTCTGAGAAGAAAATGATGTTGAAAAAGGACAGTAGTATGAGTGGGTCATCGCTCAACTGGAGCCTGCTGACTTGTGAGTGTTGTGTTGTCGTCAAGAGCCCCAAAAAAGGAGAACCACTATGACGAAGTCAGGAGAAACACAGCTGAGATGCGGACTTTTCTTGGCTTATCCATGACACTACAACTGAAAAGGGCTTCAAATAATTCGGAAGGAAACAACAACAATTGTGCACATGTGGACCTTTCGTCTTCTTGTAATAATGAAAAATCAATGAAAATTTTGAAAATTTTGTCTGACAATTATTTTGTATAATAAACAAAAGGACGGTTTCCGTGGAAATCCATGTCGTCATTGAGTTTCCCTGGTGATTTTGTCACGTTGACAAATGCGTCAGGCCGCGGCAGTCACGAGCTGCAAAAACAAAACACTGTGTGACCCCGCGACTGCGTCAAGTGCTGCGGCTTGACGCTGCGTCCAGCTTCAAACTTGCTGTAGTGTGACCGAGGGCTTACAGGACCCGACATTGACAGCACTAGGGTTACACACATAATCATTGTATGCGAGACTGCTGGAGATATTCACACTAGGAGTAGGCACATGAGAGCTATGGATAGTCACACCACTAGGGGGAGACAGCCCGTCTACAACAGTCGACGCAGCCACAGGGGTAGGGGGCCTAGCACTAGTAGGCACACGTGTGGAACTACTACTACACACACCTGTACCTGTGGGAAGCGACTCCTCCACCTGCACCCGAGGATCGGCGGTGTTGGCAGGGGTAGCCGGGCGGGACGGACGGCGTGTCGACCCCGCCTGACCTGTGGCTGCAAGGGTGACGGCTCCAACAGCCGCCTGGACCGATGTGGCGATCAAGGCCTGGAGGGTTGCAATTTGGCAAGGAAAAAACCCGGGCGCCGGAGCCAGCATTGCTGCGGAGCAGGGGGTGCTGCAGCAGCAGGAGGAGCTCGAGCAGTCATGCTGCGGGTCGGGGGAGCAGGGGGTGCTGCAGCAGCAGGAGGAGCTCGCTGCGGGGCGCGACACGTCGGGTACTCATCTCAGCAACTAACGGAGAAAAGGGAAAACCTCGGAAGGAAGAAAAAACTTTGACTGCAAACGCAAAGAACTCTCCTTCGCACAAAGACAGCTCAGCAAAACACGTCTCCAAAGTATTAGACGCCGCCTCAACTGACCATAAAATTTTGCCAGGCCACACGCTGCGCACGCGGCTTAATCACGAGGTGGTCACGTGACACTCACTCGCAGCACTCCACCACCAGCATGCGCGTACATGGGCTAACTAGGCTTCTTTCTCATTAGTTGCATGCAAGAGAGACGATGCGACAGAAAGCAAAGCCCTTTGTAGTTTTCTCTCTCGCACTGGTAATGGCTGTTGGAGTTGAAATGCTAAGACATAATCCTTGTTTCGCTCTTCTGTGTAGTGTGAAGAGGTCAACAAACATGTAGAGCTCACTTTGATGCAGTAGGCAAGGCTGTAAGCGCTGTGGCTCAAAGCGATAGGCCCTAAATCTCCCGAGATATTTCGAGTGCTATTATTTGTTGCGAGCGCTTCGTCTTCGATGAGTCCTGCCTCTTTCCTGGCAGGTGTCCTCCTATAGGACCAACAACGAAGTGACGGTACTCATCTGCAGCCGATCATTGTTATATTGCACAAGAAGATTGCGTTTTCACCAAGCCAGTGCCCCGCCAAAGACCATCACCGTGTCACACCGTCAGAATGAGTTCATGATGAGAAACATCATTCGCTCGAGCGTGATGAAGAACTATTTCGAAAGACAACATAATCTTTACCACAGGGACGACAACTATGCGCATGCCCTGCAAAGGAAGAATGTCACCAGCGACATCAACGAAGACGACGGCAGTATTTCGGAAACCGGGAATCAGGGGAGGTCGTCAAGCTCCTCCTCCGGTACATGTACAGTATAGGGGACATGCCGACACGAGCGTGCGGAAACACAGCATACACTGTAGTAATGTTGCGAGAGTTTGCTGAAGGAGTCCTAGTCGGGAAATCCGTCAGCTCCAAAAGCTACCTGAAGGTGGGCGATGAGACTTCAGCTTTAGACTACAACAGTCAGGATTTGTAAATACCGGTAGTTGAACTTTGTGAAGCAGCGATCGAGAAGTTAGTTGAAATCGTACCTGTTGCAGTATGTCGGCGCTATGTAGCTTGTACTTGATCCGCGTCAGCAATATTGTCGCTTACCTTTCAGCTTTGTTATTATGTCGCCAATGCTCACTTGGCAGCCCATTTTATCCCAATTCTGGTTAGTTGGTTAGTTTAAGAGTACCTGAAAGGTCTAGCTAGATTTCGAGAGCGACATGTTGGTGATTCTGATTGATACAGCACCGCATCAAAATAGATTATCTTGTCACACTGCGCAGGCAACAGCAGCGCGACGTACCAGAAAATAATCGGCTACTCGGAATCAGTTCCCGGGATTTTACAAAACGGCCGAGATCACTCACATCAGGGATCACTCGCCAAGCTGAGATCGCAGTTCCCTCACCTCCAGCTCAACGCTCAGAGTATCCAGCGAATCGTGGAGATTTGCAAGTACTGTACGAGTCATCGTCGTTCAAAATAAATCTTGCAAAGAACGGCGACTGATTTAAACCACGCAGGCAGTCCACGCGAAGTCCTAT